GGAGAGCAAACTGCGTGGCGCCAGCATGTCGACGCCTAGCGACGTGTGTGGCTTGAAACATGTACAGGCCTTAGCAATGTCATGCACTTCAAGCGGGTCCAAATCTTGCAGAACGACCAATGCTTGCGAACGAAGCTCACGAAGGCCTGCCTCCAGACACACACGCTGTTCAGAGTTTGGGGTCCACCATTTACTCCACTTCCGTTCCCGAAAACTCATCATCAAGGTAGGGGTGTCCACGATACCCTCAGGAGTCAAGAAATACTCAACGCAAACTTTCTCTTCAGCTTTCAAATAGCGGTGGACGGGGCTAGCACCTCTGGGAAGGGATGACTGCAACCAAGTGCGCATGCTGCCCCTGGCCTTGGCATGTGCGAGAGACCATGCACGAGTACACACAACACCTGCAGCCTCAACGAGTTCTTCCAATCTATGACACACGTAGGGTGGTTGGTTCAAGGAATCCTTCCACGACACAGCTGCTTGAGAACTCGCAAGAGGCTCGATGTGAGAAAAAATGTGGCACGACAAATCAGCCAAGACGCGCCTGTGCTGCATCGCGGCCTGAGAATACGGATCTTTTCGAGTCAACTCCATCAACTCATACAGGCGACTGGAAACAAGAGACCAATATGACAAATCAGGGTTCTTGAAACTCTGCGCCTGCACGTTGCGGGTCATCAGGGACGAGTCCTTACGCTTCAGCATACAACCCCTGCCTAAGTAACGGTGCGGGTCGGTGACAATGGCACATGCACGAGACAGACCACGGAGCTCCATTGCTCTAGACCAGATAGAGTACTGTATCCCAAGACTCCGAGACAAACCTTCCAAAGTATGAGCGGACATCGCCTGGTGGAGGTCCTCGGGCATCACCAAGGGGGCCTCCAGGAAACTGGGAGCGGCGGCAGCCATGTAACTCAACCAATGGTTATCAGGTCCATACGCTTCAGGGATCTCCAGGGGCTTCACACGGAGACAGACGGGTTCCACCATAGCCTCAAGGTCCAACAGCACGTCCAGGCACGCATGGGTCTTGAACGGGGACAGGAGGTCGGCGGAGACTCGCAGATATCAGACAACCGATTCGAACAGACAACATAGTCAATCAAGGTCTCACCAACCGAACAGGTGAACTCAACGTTTTTGGGAACCAGGGCCCTAGCGTCCATCAGCTCCAAGATACCCGAATCCTCCAGGAAATCGGCAGACATGTTGTAGTCCCCCATCAGGAACCACGGGATAGACAGCCCACGGACAAACTCGGCAACCGCACGAAGCCGAGATGAATTCTCACCAGAGACTCCAATGGAAGGAATGAGGTAGATCACACCTACTGCAACAGTGCATGACTTCATACGCATCTCAAGGAAGAACCAACAATTTCCTGCTCCAACCTGGACTGCACCCTTAGCTTGAATCAGGAACTTCCGTATGCACAACCTGGGCTGTACAGCAGCCCCGACTCCTCCATGAGTGCCTCCACCTGGGGACGGTAAAGCACTCTGGAAATGAGGATTCCACTTCATCTGCCGACAGGTCTTCTTGGCACGGAACAGGTTCGTCCCTTCAAGGTGATGTTCCGCCATGAACACTCCATCCACCTCAGCGACCTTAGTTGCCAAGAAGTCCTGAGTCAGCTTGGACCACTGTGTGATATTCACAAACTTAAACTTGACCTGAGTGCTCGCAGCTGGCAACTGACAAGGTGCTAGCGAGCATGTGCCTTCGGCTCGCTGGGCCGAAGGCAACAGATCATTAAAGAGGCTGCTGCGAGCGGGCGTCAGAGGCGGCAGCACGCCCAGCGCCTTTCGCAGCGGGAGCAGCATCAGGGAGATGTCCAGGTGGTACGGCTGCGGCCGCACGAGGAACCCCCATCTGCTTGGCCGTGGCATCACAGAAATTGCGGTACATGTCGGCCGTGACGGAGGACACCACTCTGGCACGCTTGCCCGCCTTCGCCATGATGCGCTTGGAGAGGAGGTCGGTATACTCCTGGGCCGCCTGCACGTCCAGTCCCTGCTCCACCGCACGCCTCTTGAGGTCACGGTACCTGTCGCGATCCTGGGGCTCCATGTCATTGTCGGCAAACTCACTGCCCAGGTCGGAAAGGTTATCTTCATCGCCAACGCCTCGCATCCGCTGCAGATGGAGACGGTACTGCTGCCACTGCTCGAGGCCAATGGCCGAGGAGGCAACCAGCTTCTCGAGGTCGTCATCGGAGAAGGTGTGCAGGTTGGCCTCAACGAACATGTAGTCCACAACCTTGCCGCGCAACCAAGGGACATCAGCATCATCCTCCTCCATGGGCTGTGGCTCCTGCATGGGCTGCGCCTCCACGCCGCCGCTGGCCTGGGCACCTGCTCCCGCGGCGGCCGCGTCTCCAGTGCCAGGGGCACGAGAGGCGGCCGCAACGCCCGCTGGGGCGGTGGCGGGTGCTGCACCGAGGACGCCAGCGGCGGGGGGCACTGAAGCAGCAGCGCGAGCATCCGCGGCAGCACGAGCCTCTTCGGCGGCACGCTGACGACGGCGCTGCTCAACTTCATGACGCTTCTCCTTCTTGAAGGTCTGTACATCGAATGAGGCCTTACGTTCATTAGCTTCACGAGTGGTGGCTCGAGCCTGCTCCAGCTCCTGTACCGCCTCCAAGTGCAAGCTCTGTGCCTCGTCCATATGCTTCTTCGCCTTGTTGAACCTGTCCAGCCGCCACTGCACCTCCTGGTGCGCCAGGCGCTCGGCCTTGGTGGCCTGCTCGACGGTCTTGGCGAGGGAAGTCTGTTCCGCAGCTGCCATACGATCCAATTCCACGTCAGTATACTCCTGCAGCGGCGGGGCCGGCGGCGCAGCTGCTTCACGAGCGACGCCAGCAAGAGCGGGGTAGTGCGCAGCCCACCGTTCAAGCTCTTGGAGTAGATGGGGTGGCATGGGCACCGCAGCAGCACCCGGTGCAGCCCCTCCAGGACAAGGATCAACCACATCACCATCATGTGCAGCAGACGGTAGGTACTGGCCACCGCACCTGCTGCATGCGCGGTGGCCATGGTAGAGGAACTCCCAGTGCGCGCAGAGGCTGCAGACACCGTAGGAGAGGTCCTTCTGCTTCTTCTTCTTGTTCTTGGGCTTGGGGGTGGCTGCGTCCAGGTCATCCTGCCAGACCCATCCACCTTTGGGCGCATCACCTCCTTGGTTGCGGCGGCCATCGCCACGCCAGGGAGCATTGCCACGCCAAGCCATGCCGAGAGAAAGTGGGAGTATGTGGAAAAGGAACGCCAGGCCACAAGTGGCCTTGCCTGCCGCGGACTAGCGGTATCCAGTCTTGCCAATGCGGGCTCAGCCCGCGGAAGCATCAGCCTTGAGCCAAAATGGCTACGGGGGGGAGGAGGAGGAGGAGGAGGAGGAGGAGGAGGAGGAGGAGGAGGAGGAGGAGGAGGAGGAGGAGGAGGAGGAGGAGGAGGAGGAGGAGGAGGAGGAGGAGGAGGGGGATAGGGGGAGGAGGAGGAGGAGAGGAGGAGGAGGAGGAGGAGGAAGAGGAGGAGGGGTAGGAGGATGAGGATGAGGAGGAGGGAGGAGGAGGGGGAAGGAGGAGGAGGAGGAGGAGGAGGAGGAGGAGAGGAAGAGGAGGAGGAGGAGAAGGAGGAGGAGGAGGAGCAGGAGAAGAGGTGGGAGGGACGAGGAGGAGGAGAGGAGGAGGAGGAGGAGAAGGAGGAGGAGGGGAGGAGGGAGGAAGGAGGAGGAGGAGGAGGAGGAGGAGGAGGAGGAGGAGGAGGAGGAGGAGGAGGAGGAGGGGGAGGAGTGGAATGAGGCGGAGGAGGAGGAGGAGGAGAAAAAGGAGGAGGAGGAGGAGGAGGAAGGGGAGGAGGAGGAGTGTCGGGGATCTCCTGACCCGGGTCAATCCAGACCCTGGTCAGTCAGGCATCTCAAGATCCTGCAAGACCCTGCAGGATCCTGCAAGATCCTGCACCCAAACCCGGGTGAATGCAACCTGGCCCTGCAGGATCCTAAGGTCCGGCCATTTGGCTGACCCCCCGTTTGCATCGACCCCCGTCTCTTGAGCCCCGACCGTGGAAGTCTCGACCTATTTCCCGGGAACCTGCTGTTCATCTTCCCGGGGCCCGGCGAGGGTCAGCAAGGACAAACAACGGCGAAGCACCTCCGCCTTCAAAACGGCACACACACATAAACTTTCGACGGTCCGCGCGGATTTCTCGGCTCTGCGCTGAACCCTATCCCCGGCGAGCGGGGCGCACAAGGGGCGGTGCCAGAGGCGCCGCCAGAGGGGTTCAGCGCAGATCCCAAAAAATCTGCGCGGACCGTCGACAGCCGGGGCTCACGCAATTTTCTTGCTTTCGAATCTTGGGTGCTTCTGTAAAAGCTGCACGCCTGGGCCCCCGACTGGCAGCGGTCCGGGGGCCCGGCTGCTACAAGGACAAACGCTGCCTGAGGAACCGCACGTCGCTTCAGGTCACGGCGAGCCTCGGCCACGAACGCAGGTCCTCCGACCTACAAGTAAGTCTAGGGACGGCCCTGGAAAAAAAGAGCCCCTCCTGAGCCCAACGCGTTCCTTATTTCTCGGCGGGGGAACAAACCTGCCTTCAATAGACCACCCTTTGGTAAACACGGCCTAGGGCCGAAACCAACGGACCTGGACCCGCAAAAATGGCGGCCGCGACGCCCCCTCGCGAACCGAAAACGGCCAGCGCGCCAGTCGACGTGTCAGGGCAGGAGGTCGGTCTATCAGCCTCCGACTTTCCACGGTTTGACTGTCAAGATTGCGGACCTGGCCTTAAGTCGGGCCTGTCCCCCTACAGGGGGACCCTCGACGAAAATTTAAAAAGTACTCCAAAAATAATCAAAAACAATACAAAAATAGTCTGGGGACTATTGTTTAAATATGTGTTGACCTTTTTGGGGCATTTTTGGGGTACTTTTTATTCTTCGTCGAAAATCCCCCTGTAGGGGGACACGCCCGACCTAAACCTGGCCCCCCGACCAGCCGCGGGCCTTCAGCGGCTCGTCGCCCAACTCCCCGCCCAGCCGCGCGCGGAGCTGCTGCACGGCCGCCGGCGCGCCGCGTGCGACGAGCTGTCCCACGCGGGCCTCGGCGCGCGCGCCCTCGCCCGCCTGCGACAGGCGCACGGCCGCCTCCACCAGCAGCTCGTCGCTGGGCTCCCGGCCGTCCTGCAGCAGTTGTTCGTTGTGCTTGTTGTTGTTTGGAAGTTTAATTGTATGTTTTCTGCGGCGATGATGGTGGTGATCGTCGTGTCGAATCTGCTGGTGGTGATGATGATGGCGATGATGACGGTGGTGATGATGACGACGATGATGACGATGGATGATGCTGCTGCTGCTGCTGCTGCTGCTGCTGCTGCTGCTGATGATGATGATGATGATGATGATGATGATGATGATGATGATGATGATGATGATGATGCTGGTGATGCTGATTTTTTTGGAGCTCTTGGTTCGGATTTCGTGTTTGGCAACACGCGGGGGCCCAAAAACGGCACACGAGCGCGCGGGCTAACGAGCGAACCCACCGCCGCACGCCGGAACCCCGAGGCGGTTCCCACCACAGGTGTGCCGGGTCACCTGAGCGATTGTCCACGACAGGTCTTACGCGAGATGACGTAGCGACCTTATGCGGTCACTTACGCGGGCCGCCGGCGCGGCATGCTGCGTTGGAGACGAGGGCGCTCGCGTGCGACCTTACGCGGGCAGCTTGCGCGCCAATGTCGGCGCAGACGACCCCGTTTTTTTGCGTCGTTCGCCTGGGGCAACACAGTTCGCGCCATCCCCCAGGCCGCGCCGCCCTCAGGCTGAAGGTGGACCACCGAAGCCGCCCCCTGGGTGCAAAAGCGTGCAGCGTCACCTGTGGCAGCACAGCGCGTTCTGTCAGCCAGGCCGTGCCACCCGCAAGACGCAGGTAGCCCACCGGCAAGCCACCCGCAAGCCACTCCCTCGGCAAGAGAAGCTACTGGCACAGAAATCACGGTCGTCACCAGTCCGCAGACCGTATACACATTTGAAAACAAAAAAACGCGTAAAGGCAGCATTGCGGATCTTTGACATCCCTGCTCGCTTCCTCGTGGACTCTGCTGTGTCGGCAGAACAGCTCATGCACATCCAGAGAAAGTCAACGCGGGCGAAAGCGCCACATCGTCGAAGAAGGCAGCACTGGAGCTCCCCAAGAAACAATTTCCCACGTGAGCTGTCGTCCATGCCTTCATCGGCACGAACAACTTCATCACGATGCTCGGCACGACCAGCTTCATCCCGAGCGGCGCGAACGGCTTCATCACGATCGACACGAAAAGCTTCATCAGGCACATCTGCGCGACCAGCTCCACCTCGAGAGGCGCCATCAGCACCATCACGACCAACACGAACAAATTCACCACGAAGATCGGCACGAACAGGTCCATCACGAACGGATTGATCAGCCTCATGCCGACTGGCAAGAACAGATTCACCAAGAACATCGGCACGACCAAACTCATCTCGAACGGCACGACCAACTCTGTGAAAAACGACACCAACAGCTTCATCCGGATGCTCGGCACGATCGGCGTCGTCACGCACGGCATGAACCGCGCCACCACGAGCGGCACGAACACCTTCGTCTGTCAAATCGGCACGAACATCGCGAACAACTTCATCTCGAACGGCACGAACTGCTCCATCCGGACCGGTACGAGCAACTCCACGCATCACGGACCACGCAATGACGCAGGGCACGCACAGCCCCGGCACGACGAGCACCCTCACCATGACCAGCGGCACGACCGGCGTCCTCGCGAGCAGCTGCCGCGAGAGGGTCGGCATGGACAGCTCCACCACGAAGGTCGGCACGACCAGCTTCATCGCGGACGGCACGCGCACCCTCCGCATGAAGGTCGACACGGTCGGCGTGCAAAGCTCGCGAGGCATCGGGAAACCGTGTGGCGAAGGAAGCGCACCGTCTGCAAGGATCACTAGACAGTTCGCACAGTCATCATGAGAAACGGACGCGCCAAGATCAGGAAGCACAGCACCGCCACCATCTCGAGGACCAGCCCGAATACGCACCCGAGGTACTGTATGTCGTAGAGCGCCGAAACCATCACGTCGGGAACTGGGGACACGAGTACCTGGAAACCGATCGTCACCATTGCCGCCGTCATCACCAGGATCCTGCTGATCACCCTCATCTCTAATTCTTACTTGGCCAGTTCGACCAGGCCAGAAACAAGCTTCACTGGTGCCGCCGCTATTGTTAGGTCGGGCCTGTCCTCCTACAGGGGGATTTTGGAAGTAAAAAGAAACATAGCTAAAACATATCCCAACAAAAACAAAAATAGTAAAAACAATTCGTCCCCATACGATTTTTTGACTATTTTCGAAAATCCCCCCTGTAGAGGGACAGGCCCGGCTTAACGCTATAGCGGTGGCCTCTGTCAAGTGTTGGGCCTGGAACGTCGAGAGGGGCCAGAGCATCCAGGAGATTAAGCTGCACACGACGGGGAACTGGCTGAAGACCTTCACCAGGCCGCACGGTTAAGTCGGGCCTGTCGCCGTACAGGGGGATTTTGGACGAACAATGAAAAATAGTCAAACATATCGCCAAATAGTCAGAAATAGGCCAAATATCGTCCCAAAACTATTTTTTGACTATGTTTGAAGATTCCTCCTGTAGAGGGACAGGCTCGACTTGAGCGTACGCTGACCTTCATCCTGCCGCCCGGCCCGTGCCGAACGCGCAACAACGACCCTCGGGTCCAGCTGCTGGGACGAACCCGCGACAGGGAATCAGGGAAGCCACGGGGAGAGGCACGTGCCTGAGCCAAAACGGCGATGATGATGACGACGACGACGACGATGATGATGATGAGATGATGATGATGATGATGATGATGATGATGATGATGATGATGATGATGATGATGATCATGATGGTGATGGTGATGGTGATGATGATGATGGTGGTGGTGATGATGATAACGGTGATGATGGTGATGACTACGACAACGATGATGGTAATGATCGTAGAGATGATGATGGTGATGCTGATTATGGTGATGATGGTGATGATGATGATGCTTGTGATGACGGTGATGGTGATGATGTGATGATGGTGATGAAGATAACGGTGATGATGGTGATGATGACGACGACGATGGTGGTAATGATCATGATGATGAACATGATGATGATGATGATGGTGATGATACTTATGATGATGATGATGATGATGATGGTGATGATGATGATGATGATGATGATGAGTATTATGATGATGATGATGATGATGATGATGATGATGATGATGATGATGATGATGATGATGATGATGATGATGATGATGATGATGATGATGGTGGTGGTGGTGACATCGGGCCAGCGGCGACGCAGGTTAACCATCGGTGCCAGTCCCCCCAGCAGTCGTCCGAGAGCTGCACGCGGAGGCGGCCCGGAGCACAGAGCGGGGCGATATATGGACGGACCCTCCCTGCCGTCCTGCAGCATGTGGGAGAGCCACTCGTCCGCCCGCACGACGGCGTCCTGGGGAGGGGAAGAGCGACGAGCAGGCGCACAAGACTTTCGAATGGGCAGAGACATGGGCTCCATCCCTGGGGAAAACAAACAGAAAGTAAGAACACGAACCACACCACCAATAATGCTTCCCATTCGGGGTGTGGGGGATCTGAGAATGTGTGAGCATCTGGCTTTCCCGCGACATCTTCTCCTTTTCCCCCTCCCTCCTTCCCTCTCCTCTCTTCAATTCCGCTCCTCCTCACACTGCTGCACGAATGCTGCGCGCTGCTTCAGAGTTCCTTCGCTAGGACAAAGCTTCTCCCCCCCCCTGGAAGGCCGCGTCGGGCCGCGCGGGCTACGCGACAACACAACGTAACCCGCGCGGAGCTACGCTGGCAGCGCAAGCTACGCGGGAGGAGGAGGAAGAGGAGGAGGAGGAAGAGGAGGAGAGGAGGAGGAGAAGGTGGTGGACAAGGAGGTGGTGGAGGGGGCGGCGGCGGCGGGGGAGGGAGGGGGAGGGGAGGCGGAGGAGGAGGAGGAGGAGGAGGAGGGGAGGAAAACGAGGGGAGGAGGAGGAGGAGGAGGAGGAGGAGGAGGAGGAGGAGGAGGAGGAGGGGAGGAGGCGGAGGAGGAAGGAGGAAGAGGAGGAGAAGGAGGAGGCGGCGGAGGAGAAGGAGGAGGAGGAAGAGGTGGAGGGGGAGGTGGTGGAGAGGGAGGAGCAGGGGGAGGGGAGGGGGAGGAGGAGAGGGAGGAGGGGGGAGGAGGAGGATTAGAAGGAGGAGGAGGAGGAGGAGGAGGAAGAGGAGGAGGGGGAAGAGGAGGAGGATGAGGAGGAGCAGGAGGAAAAACAGGAGGAGAAGGAGGAGGAGGCGGCGCGGCGGCGGAGAAGGAGGTGGAGGGGAGGTGGTGGAGGGGGAGAGGGGGAGGGGGAGGGGGAGGAGGAGGGGAGTGGGAGGTTGTGGAGGGGGAAAGGGGAAGGGGAGGAGGAGTGGGAGGGGAAGGGGGAGGGGGATGAGGAGGTGGAGGAGGAGGGGGAGGATAATGAGGAGGAGGAGGAGGAGGAGGAGGAGGAGGAGGAGGAGGAGGGGGAGGAGGACGAGGAGAAGGACGAGGAGGAAGAGGAGGAGGAGGAGGAAGCGGAGGAGGAGGAGGAGGAGCGGGAGGTGAAGCCATTCGGCCGAGGAGGGGCTGGGATCATCGCGGCTTCGCTCGTCGTCGGTCGCCCCTTCGGTCGTGGCTCGCGCACCGCGGAACCATTAAAGAGAAAACAGAGAGGCGCCGCAGCCGCGGCGGTCCCCCTGACCGCCACGCCCAGGACAAAGGAAGAGGCCTGGCACCGCCGCGCCAGGACCCAAAGAGGACAAGGCATGCTGATCATCAGGCTGGCGGCCGCCGCCAGCAGGCAGGAGCAGCACCGCAGCGCCCAGCAGCCCCAGCGCCACCAGCAGCACGCGATGGCGCAGCAGGGGCGTTGGACAGGATGGCGGGACCAAAGGGGACCAGCGGAAAGGAGGACAGGAGCAGGGTCCTCAACCGCTGGCCCAGGTCCCGCCGTCGGCCAGACAGACAGTGTGACGGCAGTGGGACCGCCAGATAGAGCTCAGCCATGGCCATGGAGAAGACCATCACGAGGGAGGTCATCGGCGAGAGCTCAACAATGGCAGGACCAATACAACAACCACAACCAGCAAAACACATACCAGAAGAACTACAACCAGACGAAGAAGAAGAAGAATAAGAAGAAGAAGAAGAAGAAGAAGAAGAAGAAGAAGACCACGCCCGCCTCAAGAAGGCGCCACGGACCGCATCCAGAAGGCGCCACGATACAGGCGATCCAGATGCAGGACTATCATCGACGAGTTCATCCCGAGTACGGAGGTGAGGGCGGTCAATCACGAGGCCTTCGCCTACGCCCCATCACGAGTCGGAGCTCCGCCGCACGTGGAAGCATACCACGGCGGCTCGACTCGGACGGCTCGCTGATCAGCTCGCTGGAGCCCGACGGGCAGGAGTGGATGCAGGACGGCTTACTTACGAATGGGAAATGACCAAATGTATGATCCACCCAGCCATCGAGCTGAACGAAAGGATCAAGCGATACAGAGAGGACCTCGACGTGGCCAACAAGAAGAGGAATGCGATCGCAGAAAACGTCATAGAATGGAAAGATCATCTGGAGAAGTCCGACGTGGATGCCGCCAAGATCAAGGCGTTGATCACGGAGGCAAAAAAGCAGCGAGGCATTCACGAACGATTAGACGCAGGAGCCGAAAGCTCAAGCTGCGAAGGATATGGAGAAGATACATCGGACGAACGCAGGGGCGACAAGAGGACTCGTGACAAGACGCCACATCCCCGTCGGCAAGGTCAGAAAGCACAACGTTGCCAAGCGGACGAGGGACAGCATGTGACAATGTTGATCGAGGAATTGAACAAGCGTCTGGACATGCAGCAGGAAGAGTACGTCCAGCACCAGCGCCACCTCCAATTCTTCCACGGCGAGTGCAACGCCAACACCCGAAAGGACGAGCAGCGCACTCAAAAGGACAAAGAAAATATCAAGGCCATGAAGCATGAGCACAGGGAGCTGAAGACGGAGATGGCCGCGAAGAATCTCGACATCACGAAAAGGGCCTCCAAGCAACGGGAGGGGCACTTCGAACGGCAGTGCATGAAGCTGAACACGAAGGCGAAACAAGAACTCGAACAAACCAAAGCTGATGCCGTGGAGGCAAAGCACAAGCAAAATGAAGAAGAGCAAAGCATGAAGAAGAAGAAGACAATGGACAAACGACAACATGAAAGGCAGCTCGCAGACATGGCCTGGAAGCTCCAGAATGAGCACGCGGAGAAGCTCGAGAAACAATGAGGGCTATTCAGAGAGAAATACGGGCACCGCAAGGCGAAGCTGCAGGAGGAGGCGCTCATCCACTTCGGGGGGGAGGCGCAGTCCATGATGGCCAGGGGGCACGAGCTGAAGGAGGAGGAAATACAAGCAAGGCGCGAAGAGCAGCTTCATATTCAACGAGCCCTTCATCAGAAGCACGGACAGATGCAACGCGAACAACAACAATTACGTCGAGAGATTGTCCAAGCAGAAGACCGCATCAACCGCGAGAAGATCAACGTGCAAGACGCTCAGACCGCAACGCGGGAGTCAACCCGCAAGATGGCTGAATCTGAACGCGCACTACAACAGGAGAACGAGGGGGCACAACACCAGGTACAAGAGTGGATAGGAAACGAGCAGAAAACGTGGCAGGAGATGGTACGACAATCGCAGCAATGCGCCAACAACGAAGGGCACGCTGCGAAGAGAAATCGCGACGAGAATGAAGAACAGCGCAGAGCATACCATCAACGCAGACAGGAAGAAGCACTGCAACACGAACAACGACAGCAACATCAAGCACGCGAGCTCAGGATGCGGCTTCACGCAGAACTACATCAACAACAAGTCATCATGACGGAGGACAGTGCACAACAATATTACCAACACCGAGCTCTGGAACAGGCGCTAAAGAGGGAGCTGATCCAGAGCGAGGAGATGGAAGCGGAGAGTACCGGCGAAATGGGGCTCGAGATTGGCAGGGACATCGAAGAAGAAACGCGAAGGCAATGCCTGGCAAACATCGGGCAGCAGAGAATCGACGAGGAGATGGAGAGCGCGCTGCATTCCATCATGCCAGGCGGGGCCCACCCAGCACCGCCTCGACATCCGCCCGTGCAGAGAGGAGCGGAAAAGCAACGTCGACAGCGAGGGCAGGAACGCAGGGACAACGAGCAGCACGCCAGGCAGTGACTTAAACATCCCTCAGATTGTCGGCTGCACGTAAGAGTGACCCTGGGTAAGAGTGACCTTTGGTGCGCGGCTTTTTCGGGGGCGCGAGGGGGCCAAACACAAGCGCGCAAGACGCTAATATCGCAACGAGCGCGGCGATCGGGGGACCCCAGTGAGCGCGCACCAAAGGTCACTCCGGCGAAAGGTCACTCTTACGTGTTGTCGAGATTGGCCATGCATTATGACTTCCGGCAGAACGAGCACCACCACTTCCACCGTCAGACGACCCAGCGTCAGCCGAAGCACTTACCAGTCTCGACAAGCCACGCGCGAACGACAGTCAGAAGACGCCCATGCCAAATCCCGACCACGACGACGATCTTCGAGACCACATAGACGACGCCGAAAGGATGCTGACCCCGGCGCCACCAGTAAGCCCGACACCACCTGCCGAACAACCAACCCCAGACTACGACCCAAAGAAATGCATCTTCCCACCAGTACGGGCACATTCAGCAGCACCCGAGATCAACGAGGACGCTATCTGTTCGAATCGACAACCCACCACTACCATATTGATAAACATCAGCCGAGACGAAGAGTGTGAGACACCAGCAACACCACGACGGATGACCATCGATAATATCACGCCTACAATCCCCATCCAGCATACTGAGAATCCCCCCGTTTCCACCTTGAAGCACCTGACAGGGCTCAGTCAGCGCCGCCGGTAAGAGCCAAGTCAGCTCTCAGAAGGAGTAGCTAGCGCGAACGACCAACGCGCAAGGTGCGCATGCGCGACGCAGGAGATGGATTCACCGACCCAACGGACCGAATGCCGATCCCAATCGACAACCTTGACGGGCCTGCCGACCCCGCCTCGACAGAACAAAAACTGATTAGGACTGAGCCCGATGGGGGGCTGCTGGCCCAGACGGGGAGTCCGACTACTACGCCAGCAGGTAGAGCCTGTGGTCACATCCAACAGATCACAGGGAACACGCCTGAGAACAATCTCGGCACTAGCACCCAACCTGAGGACCGATGCCGATCGACCCGTGCGGTGACAACAAACAGCCCAAAAACCCCACCACATTCTCCACTAGGGGGAAATAGCAGTCGGGACGACACTGAGGTGCACGCGCTGGGGGTAGCTCACCTCAATCCCCCGACGTCGACACGACCAACTCGACCAACCAATAGCACATACGTGAACCAAACAAGCAAAACTATAAAACGCACAGCGGATAAACGCCCGACTTCCGAGAAGAGGAAGAGCCAAGAGCAATGGGAAATCTACTTGCGTGGCCACCTCGATCACGGGCCAGGCCATGCGACGCCGAGGACGGGAACCTCTAGTCGAGCCGGCACCACACCAACCAACCAAAGAAACAAAGCTGGATCTCGGAGCATCCCCAAGACCAGTACAGCAACGCCACTACTTAAGACAATACGATTCACTAGCTCAACACCACCGAGGCGGGAGCCAGCGAGACCAGTGGCGCACAGCCCACCGCGACCCGACCGACCTCCTGCACATAGCATACACCAGGCCACTAGCCACTTTGGCACAGAGACGCCGCATGTTTGGAAGTTGCCAACAAGAAGGCTACTACATGCTCTTCATTGGAGTCAATTCGACAACATTGAGGAGACGTTCCCCAATGACCTGCACAACGACCAGACATTTTGCAACGGCCGCGAACACGAGGAGGGCAGCCGCGACACGAAGATCGAGGTCCGACTCGACGAAGCAAGCCTACGACAAACGCAACGCGAACAACGACCAGCACAACTTAGTCAACGACTACGTCAGACACAGCTACAACGACCACCACACATACCCTTGCACATCCGATTCAGTGGTCTAGCAGACGCGACGACCGACACTGACGATGATGACGATGATACACAGGACATCCACAACCAACCAGAACGCGTGCACGTCCACGCTGTCCTGGCGAGGCTAAGATCAAGCTTCGAGACAGGGTCGAAGGGCGGGGGGGCAGGGCGAGCACTGCCCGCGCCTGCCAGGGGGGGATGGTGAGGGGCAGGGGGGGGTAGGACGGCCGCTGCCCGCGCCCCCGCGGTCCGCCCTAGATCGCCACCCCCACCATCCCCGCGGCGGAGGCGGAGCTCACCCGAACGCCCCATAAGCGGAGCACAGGACAGACGTGACATCCCCTACCGAGAGCAGAAGCAAACGCAAGGCCTGGGGTTCGCCCCCACCGAGGGCACCGTGACCCCTAGCCATAGCGGGACGAGGTGGGATAGCCACGAATCCCACTTGAAGTCGGTGCAAGGAGGCCTCACAAGTGCGCCCACCACCAATGCGCCACGACCAGCAACCACCCGACAACACACCGACCAAACGATAAGCACGCCAACCAAGCAAGCACAAGGCCTGGGGTTCGCCTCCACCGAGGGCACTGTGACCCCCAGCCATAGCGGGACGAGGTGGGACAGCCACGAACCCCACTTGAAGTCGGTGCAGGGAGGCCTCGCAAGTGCGCCCACCACCAACGCGCCACGACCAGCAGCAACCCGACCAAAGATCGACCATGCGATAAACGCGCCGACCCAACGACCACCGCCCCCAATCTCGCAACGACGAAGGAGGAGTTCATGCGACCCATCAGCCGGGAAGTATCACGCGCAACAAACAAGCCCACAAGACAACCGATTGTACGCATTACAAACCGCTATGGATAAGCCGGCAGTCCTGGGGGCATCCCAGGGCACTGGTGCAGTAGCACGACAAAGAGACGACCACCACAACAAGCCAGCACAAGATACACGACCCGCAGTGCTACCATTCCGACAGCCGCGACGACTCCGAGAAGACAAGACACACAAAAACGCCGCCAGCGCGACCGCGAGCACAACCAGAGCTATGCAACAATTTAGAGTTAAACCAAACAAGGACACACCCAAACAACCTAAGACTCACCGAGCAGCAACAACTCCAGTCAACCAAGAAGGAACCCAACAACAAACAATGCGCCAATACAGCAACAGACGCCGACAGTCCGACACCAAGTGCGACCTCGGCAACACCAGCAGCTTGAAGACAAGGATACAAGCCACGCCAGCACCGACCTTCTATCAGAACGTGCACGGCGACGACCTGCACCCCGCAGCGAGGCGCGCCCTCGACTCGACCCCCAACGGCCACAACAGCCACAGGGCGAAGAATTTCCTACACGGACGCGTCCTACAATATCAAGAAGAAAGACAGCTGATCTTGGGCCTTCACTGTTGCAGGAAACAAACATGTCCGATGAACGAACATTCAGAGGCGCATACTACGGCATCGTCAGCAACAACCACGCGATGGATCTTAATTGCAGCGCGTCTACCAACACAGCGGGCGAGATCGTGGCAATAATACAGACACTCGTGTGGATTATTGCGGCCGACGAATCGCAGAACGTCAACATCTTCACAAACTGTAAGGCGGTCATCGACATATGCCTCGGCACGGCAACGTCGACCGCAGACCGCGACCTCGCCATGCACCTGAAGCTCGTATACGCTCGCGCCAGCACCATCGCCAGCATCGACCTCCACCACGTGCCAAGCTTCGAAAGGATGCCGTGGAAAGAACTTGCTGATTGTCTACCAAACCGCGAGCGGAAGACGCACGAGAAGAACGAGCCGACCAACAATGTGCCGCGGAGCTTCGAACTCGCTATATTACTACCAGCGGATATTACCAATGGGAGAAAATACTTGACCATAACAACCGAGATCGACACACATACCCAGATGAACAGGACAACAAACTCATCTTCGGGAACGCGGAGCGCGACGCCGAGCCTGAGTACATGATTGCGCCGACGGAGACTACAGACATCTCAACGGAGATCAAGAACAACACCGCGACCTACAAAGCCGAGGGCGCCAGA